GTAGTGGTAGTGGTAGTGGTGGTGCAATCGTCATCACTGTTGCCACCAATACCGTAGTTCATGCCACAAGCAATGAAAGCTCTCGACACCGACCTTAGCCTCAGCTAACGAGCTAATGTGTCAATAGCAGCCAGCAATATTGCAATGACGCGGATGAGCCGGATCTCAACACGCACCTCCTTAATTACATGTGCAATTTCAGCGTTTCCTTTTGTTTCCTAAGCGCCAAATTGCCAGACCTTGTCAGGATGCCGGGATCCAGTACAAGGATCGGGAATGTCGAAGCCGTGTGCAGCCGTGGTGACAAGCGTACGGGGCTGGACCTTGAGTGTTGACAGTCACATTCCCTCACATTCCCCACAGCAATGCCCAAATTCTAAGCCCAGGGCAGCGACAAACTTCTAACCCGACCATGATGCAAAGGAGAAGCCTTCAACGTCTCGAGCAATTGAGTCTTTTGGGAGCTCATCCTCGGGAGTCCATATGTTAAACATGTTAAAGGCTATGTTGCACGGCTCTAGTACAAGAGGCCCAAAGCCTAAACCTGCAAGCAATAAATCCTTGTCATTCGCCCATGTCGAGAAGCCTCTCAATGTTTTGAAAATATAGTGTTAGGAATAAGTATCAACTGTCAACATTATTCTCTGGGGTTCCTGAATATCAGCATACTGCTTCTAGTCTTTTTGTCACAAAATCCCTTCTCTGACTAGTACTTCAGAACCGACATTGAAGGAGACCTTGGCTTCGTGCGCTCTTCAGCTCGGAAGCGGCTTCAAGGCCTGAGAGAGAGTTGGCTCTGAGAAGGCGAGGTCTATGGTTTAGGGTTTAGGGTTTACGGTGAGCCCTACAAATTCACAAACAGCCCTGTAGCCCAACGGAAAAAATCGCCTTGAGCCCTAAACCTAGAACTCCGAAGTCTAAGCCGGTAGTCAGTAGTGCTAGTTGATTTTCAGACTCTGTGAGACTGCCTCTTGAGTGGAATAGGTTGAATAGGGTTGAACGTTTTTTGTGTGTATATATATTTATATATACCTGGGAACCATAAGGAATAGAATTGGTGATTTTTTCTGGCCCTTGTAATCAACGCCGCAAGTGCGCGTTTTCCTAGTATTCTTCCAGTGGCCCTACTCGGATTTCCGAGTTCAGATTTCAACTCATTTGCTTCGAGCGTCTCGCGCAAGCTGTATCAATCCATCGATACACTGTTTACCCCAAAGCCTACGACAGCCCTTCTGGCCGGTTTGGAACATCGTTCAATCCAACATTCTTCCTTGCCTTAGCTTAACACCCAAAACCCTGGCCTCCAAACTCCGACATATTGAATGTCGAAACCTTAACCCGACAGCGCTGGGACATTCGGAGCTCCCTGGGCTCTCTCTCTCTCTCGGGATCTCTGAATCTTTGCTTTTTGCCCCAAGGAAGTATTAGGGCCAGCATTCTTCCGACGCCGTGTTGTCTTCTTTGGTTGCAACCCCATGCTGAAGGGGCTATACACAGCGTCTGAGACTCTATTCTGGGTGCCATGGGGGGGCGGCTTTGTGGGCCCCATCTCTGGAGAGGCTCAGTGTCCGCCGGAATTGCTGGCGGCTGTCGGCAACCCAGGAGGATGGTAAGACAGACTTAAGAGTATTCTGTGGCAGTCCATATGTAATAATAACGGAATATGATGCCAAACCTTATTCTCGTTATAAAGGCCATCGCTTTTTGCGGGAGAGTCTTCGGCTGAGGATTTGGGGTTTAAGGGCTTTGGTGGTTTCGGAGCTGTATCTGACTTCGGGCTTTGGAGTAAGTCGCATGCACTCGATGCGCTGTGTATTCTTTTGCGAACCCTCGATACACTCTGAACCCAAAACCGAGCCCCCTAAGCCGTAAATCTTAAATCGAGGTCACGGCGAGGGTGTCCGAGCTGACTGCCGCAACGGATCCGGAGGTGGGAGAGACCCATGGACATATAGGGCACACACCATGTACAAATCCAATTGTTGTTATTGCTGTCTCAAGCGAGTACGACTTCTGTATTGCTAGCATATGTCTCTTTATTGGTGTTGTGAATGTCCTGGTCTTCGATGAGGATCATGATTCCGTATATGATGTCTATGGTGACTATATTACTATATTGGTACCATTGTCTTTAACTCTAGATGTTGTTGAATGTTCAGTTTTGATTCTGCACGTGCCAGGCAGAGCAGGAGCTGTCCTGTCTGAAGGACTGTGCTGCAGTCTTGAACGCCTAGCTGCATCCTGTGAAGGAGATGGGAATTCGTGGAGTAAGCAGAACCTACATTGGGGTTTTAGAAAATGTGGGGTGTGTAGTTCTTTAGGACCCGTAGAATTGAGACGGATCCTGCAATTGGTTAGAAACTAGATGGCGATCGCTTGTCTTCTGAAACTCCCACTCGCTGCACGTGTTTGACACCAGAGTCTTCATCTTTTCAGTACAGGCATCGTTGCGCAACTGTTCAGGCAACTGCGCCTTGGGCATGGTGTCTCACCCTGCAGCTCAAGCTGCGACACGTAGAAACTTACAGACCTGGGCCGACCATGAGAGCCCCAAAACGATGCACGGGGGCTTTAGGGCTTAAGGTTTTAATTGTTGAAGGGTTTCGGTAAGGTCTTGTGTGAGCAAAGCCCTGTAGGAATTTCATGCTCCATCGGGACTGCACAAAGCGTTTAAGAAGCTGAGGTGCTTTCCCGGGCAATTCGCACCTTTCACCAACACTCCTACCTGCTACCCGTGCCCAGCCGGAGCATCGCTGAGGGCTCAGTTGCCATGGGCATGGCTTGCTCTTTGCCTCGCAGATCTTGAAGCGCATGAGTGGAAGTTTACAGCTCCGAGGTGTCCAGACTTCGGAACGACGACTCCGTCCCTCCGCCACGGCTTTTGGGAATCCGAAGCTTCCTCGAGTCCCCAAACTCGGGGACTCCTACCGCGGCCCTGCCAGGGCGAAAAAGTCTGTATGGTCAGAACAAGATATCCCAAGACCAACAAAGCTGGAACCTACGGTTGATGATATAGATCCTGCATTACCCAGAATAAGGAATATACCATACTTCCCATATAGTATAGGGTCCTTGAGGTAATGCAGGATTTCTATCATCAGCAGTAGGAGCGCAGGGGTGACTTCTCCGCCAGGTTCATTTGCCCCCCCGGCACTTTCCGGGAGCCGCCAGGGCCCGAACAAAGCCTTCTTTGGTTTTGGGGGTCCGGCTTTGAGGGGTAGGGATTTTCATCTCAGGGTTGCAGAACTCGTAGCCTTCAATGCAGGGTTGAGGGCTTTAGGTGCGGCTTTGCGGTTTCAGAGCTTCGGAGATTGAGGGTGGAGGCAGCCTTTCGGGCTTTCGGATTGCGGAAAAGGCCTGGCTTGCGCTCTAGCTTTGAGGGTTTCGGGTATAGAAACAAAACCCTCATGATGACTACCTTTACTTACAGCAACCTGCATAGTAGCCTCAAAGCACCAAACTCTAGACACTGGTTCTTGGAATAGTGACAGAGCAACGTTCGATCTTGGACATCAAAGCTGCTGCTTGGGACCACTTCAAGCTGCGGCTGAAAGGATGCATCTGGAGATGATCTCCACGTCAGAGCTCTGCGACGATGCATCGCATGCAGTACTGCATGAGAGTTTATTGTGAGAAGCAAAGATAGTCATAAGTAGTTGAACAAGCCGGAGAACTACGAAGCACAATCAGTGTAGGAGACGGGACTTCCAATGACAACACCAACAGAGACAGCGACATCAATACCCAAAGCATGTATAATGTGAGTGAAGGCTACTAGTAAAAACAGGAAGAGTATGATACCAGTCAAAGCCGTAAGAAGAAGAAACAGAAGAAGAAGCAGCAGAATAGTCTCCGGGCATTGGTTGGCTGCCCCTCAAGGCAATTTAGGATTTGGATCGGCTTAAAGGGGTTCGAAGTCTTAATCTACATCGGGCTGCAGACATTAAACCCGACATCCCAAACAACCGTTGGCCGGCAACTCTAGACCCTAAGATCTTACAGAGGATATGAAAAAAAGGCCCTCAAAAACCATAAGATCTTAGCCCTTTTACACCCTAAACACCGTTATGAGCCCTACAGCCCTGAAACCCCCAACTGTCTCAGCTTTGGAGCGCAAAGAAAAGAGCTTCCGAGGTCGCTGGGAGAAGGAAGCTCCAGCACGATCTCCTGCGAACCGTGTCCTGCTGGGACCTGGTCGTCCCCTGAGCTTAGTCTCATGGTAACGTTTATAGGGGATTGGGGTCTATAGGGTTCAGGGTATCCTAGGGTTTCGGGGATTAGGGTCTATAGGGTTTAGGGTATCCTAGGGTTTAGGGGAGGGTCCAGAGTCTAGACGTTTTGGGGCTTCTGGGCCAGATGTTTGAGTGATGGCCAGGGTTGGAGGATTTCAAGCAACGCCAGGGGTTTTCCGTGCTCCACGGGTTGGTGCCCGTTTTCGTTGTCAGGACCGAGGATGTTCCCTGGATTCTCAGGTTCCCTGACGTGCCCAAGTTTCCATGGCTGGTGTTATCATAATGCCATCATCATTCATTGTCATCATCACCCATGACATTATACCGTGACTCACATGATGTTTTCTTGTTACCTTCCTACGGGTAGTTCTCTAAATTAGGGTCCCTTTTAGGGCCCGTTTACAGGGGTGCCGTACCATACTGGGACCTGAAAAAGGGGGCCTACTTTCTAGAGAATTACCCATATCGTTTTCTGTCCCAGTACATCACCGCATCTTCCCCTGCGGGTGTTCTCGATTTGCCAAGGTCGCCCTGGCGTGGGACTCCGGACTTCTCCTCCTGTGAACCCTGCCCAGAGGGTCGAGCCTGAACCTCAAACTGTCAGGGTTTCAGGATTTTCAGGGTATAGGGTTAAGGGTGTCAGGCTTTCGGGGGCTTTCGGCTGCAATGTTTCCGCTGGCGAGATCGAATGCTGATTAACCCTAGACTCCCTAGCCCCTATTAACAACGCCAGTAACGACAGCCATAGAATCTCAGGTCTGTGTGGTCGGCACCGGCAATGTCTCCGAAGGAATCATCTGCCGGGGCCTTGCGAAGCCTCATCCGGAACCTGGTAGACCCAACTCTGCTGGTGTGGCAAACTCCATGCGCGGATCGTTCATATGGCTTGTTAAGGATATGCCGATACGCCACGCACATGTGTGTCTCGCTTACATACAGACACGCATGATACGAAAATGCATGTGCCGCTGTACATAAACATGCATACATACACATGTTCTTAGATCTACATCTGCATGTACCCACAACATGTTTGGTGGGAAGAAGAAAGAAGGCTACGCACATAATATGTAGACAATGCGGGTGTAGTAGCAATGCAGTACCCGCAAACTTGTTACCTGCACATGTGCACAGCGAGGTACATCGTACCCTGCAAGAACGTTCTACTACGCACTGTTTGTGCCTGTAATTCTGAGGTAGACAGCACGTGTGTATGTGGGCGTAAGCAGATTATCCTGCATTGTACAGCAAGTTGATCGCGAGCTGTTGTATCTGCGGAATTGTACAATCGATATATATATATAGATATATATAGATATAGGTTTAGATATAAAGGTGTACATACACATGTATATATGTGTTTAAGTTTGTAATTACACATAAACTTATGGGTATGTTTACTTTAAATTGCAACTCGTAGTTGCGTAAACATACATGCATCTACATGTGTGTGTGTGCATATATACATATTCGAAATAAATATGTAAACTTTCCTCTACATACATAGACAGAGACATATATACATATATATATACATACAGTTACATATCTATATCTAGACTAGAATCTTGTATCATATTTTTAAGCATAGTAGAACATGCAGGTTTCTAGGAGGGTGTCTTGTAGCGTAGTGTAGTGTAATGTAATGTAACGTAATGTCATGTAATGTAATGTAGTGTAATGTAATGCAATGTAATGTAGTGTAATGCAGTGTAACATAGCATAGCATGGCGTAACATAGCAGAACATAGCTGCGCATAATATGACATCATAACTGTAACCTAAAAACATGATAGCATAAACACCATAACACAAAGCAAAATATCTATTTTTATGTACATACACCCATAAAATATACATATTCGTTCAATGTGAGTAATGTGAGTACATACATATGTACCCACAACATCCACACGGTTGTATATGTGTCTATATATATATATATGTATGTATAACGTGAGAGAGGCAGAGAGACACACAGAACCCTCATAAGATTAAATATGTCGAAGGGCAGAGACATGCTCGCATGGTATGTACACTATCGCACGGGTCTCTTAGCAAGTTCTGATGTGGCAAAGGTCCGGAAGGACATATTTGCGGGTCGGGCACGACGCCAGGGACTCGGCAAGTTCTTGGGTGTCGCAAGGCGCGTTCAAACAGGACTAAACCTTTGGGTTGAAGGTTTGAGACTTTAAACCTAGGGCCGCTAGATTCTAGATTCAATGTAGAGGTTTGTAATTCCAGGATTTCGGGGTCACGGGATTGGGTGAAGGGCTGACTCAGGAATGTCAGCCCTGTTCCAGTCCAGACAATCAGATACAGTCCTGGAGTCGTCGGGCACCTCGTTGCAATTGCCTGATGTGTGCACCATCGTTGTCGTCATCATTATGTTCCTTCGAGCCTTGCTGTGTTGCAACAGGGGCATTAGTATTCATAGTAGTCAGTAGGAGTGAGGCATAGCAGCAACGGCAGGGTAGTAGTAGTAGTAGT